TTTCAAAACCGGGTCCCAAAGCCTTGGTTCTTATCAGAGATAAGAATATATTTTCTGAGTAACGAGAGAGCTGGAAAATATAAGAAGGAATATTCCACCACCATTATTCTTTCCATCGTGCCACAAAGTCTGGGGGAAACCTCACAGCTTGTTCACTCCAACCTGTTTTCAGTACTTTCAAAACCGGTACCCAGAGCCCTGATTCTTATCAGAGATAAGAATGTGTTTTCTGACCAATGAAGGGACCAGGAAATTTGTTTAACAATTTTGGAGGGAAAAGTCCCCGATTCTTCTGAGCCTACTAAATCTCCATAAATTTGGGGAATCTTTTCCTATTTGACAGTGAGAACTTCGACCACCGTCTGTGAGGTCGACGATAGGGAACTCCAGTCAATTTCAGAACCACTTTCAACCAAAGAAGAACTACCTACTAAAGGGCTGTCGAGAACGAACGTCGGTCCACAATTCAAGACCAATTCAAAGCTGCATCCCTTCATCACTCCTTTCGTCGTGCCCACCGGACTTCTGTCGTTGACCTACGAACTCACTCAACTGCAAGAGTCCTATATCTACCAACAATTTTCCTACTCTACAAGAACTGTGAGTGTTTCTAAACCTTAACAAAATTCTACTCGCTTAAAGAATTTTTAGAGACATATTTTGAGCAAGCCTTTTTTCTGTTATGAACATTTTTTTCTTCCCTTAAAGGATATTTTCTCTTTTCCCTTTCTTTCACTCCTAATTGTCTTTATCCCTTTACCCTTTTTTTCTGTATATGTAAAGAAACACTTTCTTCTTTTATTGTTACACACCGAGCAGTTTTTTTTCTTTATTCGTACGCGCCTAAAAGAGAGAGTTTGTCCACTCTAATCTTGCTGTTTTTACTCGCATTTTGTCGCAATTTTTTAACCTCAACCCAATTTTTTAACCTAAACTCTTTGATGCAGGAAAACCGGGATAAACTTTCCCCGCAACTTTCTTTCTATACCCCACTAGCGGTTTCTATCTAGCAATGCCAATAACATCTTGGTCAATAATACAGATAACAATCACACAAAGTTCGTATCCATAATCTTTTGTGCCTAATTCACTTCACTTTTGCTGAATTAATTCGTATTATTTTTATTGAATACTTAATAGCAGTATCAGTAGCAATAGGCTTAGTAGTAATAGTAGTAGTAGCGGCATTAATAGTAGTTTAAACTCTCTGATGTTCTTAGATAAAATATTTTCATAGATTTTCCTATCTGTATCGTTTTATATTAGTCTGAAAATAAAAAGAATAATGAAAATATTTTATTACAAAACTTCCGAAGATAATAATAATAATAATAATAATAATAATAATAATAATAATAAAGAGAAATCCTGGACAAATGACTGAAACTACTCAGATAACAAGACGTGAATTATATTATCCATCATTATCGGCGCGTTGTAATGGCTCGAATGGTTGGCTGATTTTGTTTAGCGACATATCAAACTATGGATTATTTCATGCAGAAATCTAAATATATTTTGAACACAATTATATGGATTCAACTAAATATATTTTGAACAGCATTGTGTTGTTGGTAATTTTACCAAATTTAAGCACTATTGGTAATTTTACCAAAAGTACGCATTGTTGGTAATTATACCAAAAAAGCATGTATTGTTGGTAATTTTACCAAATGTAAGCACTGTTGGTAATTTTAGCAAAAATACGCATTGTTGGTAATTATACCAAAAAGCATGTATTGTTGGTAATTTTGCCAAATGTAACCACTGTTGGTAATTTTACCAAAAGTACGCATTGTTGGTAATTATAATAATAAATGTATAATTTTACCAAAAAGCACTGTTGGTAATTTTACCAAATTTAAGCACTGTTGGTAATTTTACCAAAAATATGCATTGTTGGTAATTATAATAAAGAAGCATGTATTGTTGGTAATTTTACCAAATGTAAGCTTTTGGTAATTTTACCAAAAGTACGCATTGTTGGTAATTATAATAAGAAGCATGTATTGTTGGTAATTTTACCAAATGTAAGCACTGTTGGTAATTTTACCAAAAAGTACGCATCGTTGGTAATTATAATAAGAAGCATGTATTGTTGGTAATTTTACCAAATGTAAGCACTGTTGATAATTTACCAAATGTAAGCACTGTTGGTAATTTTAGCAAAAATACGCATTGTTGGTAATTATAATAAGAAGCATGTATTGTTGGTAATTTTACAACAACAACAATAATAGTATTAAAATGTTGTAAGACTTGCTGCCACTTGATCTTAGGCAAAAAAAGAAAAAAATCCTAACGTCTCCTCAGGACGTAAAGTATCATTGTTTCTTTTTAAGGCATGCGATCACAAATTCCTTTTTAATGGTTATTTTCTAAGTGTAGTTTATATGTGGCGCAAATCTGAAAATATGCGGCACCCAGTGAGGATCGAACTCATTTTCCCGTCGTGATATAGCGAGACCAGCTTGCTAACCATTAAACCACGTCGAAGTGTTCTAGATTCTTTTTTTTTAATGTCTGTGAATTGCCATTTATATTTCAGGAAAGATTTCCCCGTTGTCTTTACGGCTTGGAATTCAATTTTAGATTGGCTGCAACCCAAGGCTAGAGAACCCCCAGATCTACTCCGCTATTTAATCCATACCTGGAAAATGAAAAGAAACAGTTTCATGGCTTTCCGTATGGCATTTGCAGCTGAAATTTGAAACCGGCTGACCGGTTCCTCTTTCCGGTCCGATAACAATTACACCAGCCGTATATCCAAACAAAAAAACTACAATGAAAGCCATCAAATATTACAAGTGTAAAAAAAAAATTAACACACACACACACACACACACACACACACACACACACACACACACACACATATATATATAATTATTTATTTAAAAATATGATTCCAACACGCTACATAAGAGGTCTCATTTCGCTTGAAGATGGAACAGAGCTTAGTACTTTAATTCAATTTAATTTAAATAATTATATTGAAGTTTTCGGCTCTTGTTTTGAAACATGAGAACTCTTATGTAGCGTTGGAATCATATTTTTAAATAAATAATTATATTTATGCTCTACTTTTGTATCCAGCACTATTTTTTAAAAATAATAACAAAAATACTAAAGAACTTTGCATTATTTACCTAACGAGTTCTTTCCTATTTTCTATATATATTCGCACACACACACACACATAGTTGATAAAATTGTGTTCAAAATATTTCGGCATTAAATAATTCAAATAGGTTGATATGCCGCTAAACAAGATCAACCCACCAACCAATCAAAGTAAAGTGTGGAGCATGGGAGTTAAGGTCGTTCCTATAATAGATGGTGCACCTGGAACAATACCAAAACATGATAGGCGAGATTAGAAGAATTAGGAATTCAAAGAAATATTGATACCGTTCTCACTACGGCGTTACTAGCGTCCGAGAAGAAGAAGAACCTCCGTGCATCAATTCTTTTAAAATTAAGAAGAATTATCGTTGAACTTTTAAAAGGTAAGCTTATATATTAATGCAATACTCAAAAGCAGCGATCAATTTTGATCTCTTCGGCAGTTTATTGTTGCCTATCGCATGCGGCATCAGTATGTCTCACAAAAAAGAAATATTCGCCAAAAGTGGACCAACTTGCAATCAAAAAGCCAAGGCTGCAGCGAGGAAAAGAAAGACTCGTGCAAATGAAAACTGTTGTATCCTTAAAGAGGTTACAAAAAGACAAAGGTAGTACTCGAGTGAAGGATCAGCAACACGCGCGTAGATGAAAAAAGAGAATACACTACTGAAAGACAGGGAATGGGGTGGTAGGCTAGTAATTCCCGAAGCAAGCCCCCAGGTATATTCTCTGCTCACTATATATTAGCTACTGATATAGTCAGTCCACATAGGCGATAGGGAGTGTCGGACATTCCATTACAACAAAAACCCAGATCAAACGGCAGCCAGGAGAGCTTCCAATGGTGGGACGTGCAAAGGCTTAGGAACTCTCAAACTCCTGAACAAGCTGAAGGCCCAATCAAAAGACCTCTGCAGGAGCTAGCTTAAATGCAGTCTGACAGGGCAGTTTTAAAGCTATTATTGAATAAATGTAACCAAGATTACATATTCATAAAGTTGCGAGAAAAGGCAAAGCATCTCCTGTAAATAGATGGGGTAAATATTTCTGAGGTAAAACAAAGTATATTCAATGTTACTAGTCCTGATCTGGCCTCTCGACTTCCATCACTTTCCCACCGCGGTAGCGTAGATTCCCTGTGCGTTTCTATAAGTATTTTCATGGTAACTGTTCTAATGACCTTTCCTCTCCCCACCGCACAGACAAATTGTACATATGCGAACTAGTTAGGGATTCAAAGAGTCTTAGAGGCATTATTACGGCTGTAGTAAGAATGATAAGAATGTGCTGTTTTGGTGTAAGGAATACGGTGTTATAGTTGTGTCAGTAATTGTGACTATCTAAGTTTAAGATAAGATAGATCGATGACCAGCCTTCCTCTATCCCTCCTTTTGGCCTTGTGCCAGATTTTTGTATTTTTTAAAAATAAATATGGTTTTCCTCTTTGGTACCTAGACTTTATGAATTAAAGTGCAGCACTAGATTGGTGGCAAAGTCACATCATTTTACAGTTGAAATGGCTAGATGTAACCGTAAGTTCTATGCTAACAGTTTCTTCTCTCGCACTTCCTGCTTGGAGAACTTTGTTCTTGCTTCTTGCTTTCCAGTCAAGTTTGATCTTCAAAAATTTAAATGCAATATCAATCGTTATCGTCTGTTTTCTTAATTCTTGTTCCTTTATTGTTCTCTCTCCTTAACAACAGCTTTTCTCATATTCTCTAACACTCAGTAATCTCTTGCGTCGTAGTGGCTTTATTGCCTTGCTTGCGATGAAATTATTAAAAAAACATGAATAATTGGAATCATTGATTTATTTTGACATGCTGAGTTCACTATTTCTATTATTTACATTCAAACAAATGTCTTCATTGGCTTACAACCACACCACGTTGAAACATCAGTTCCCATGCAATCACCTAAGTTAAGCAATACCGAGCCTAGTCAGTATCCAGACGGGTGACAATTTGGGAATACTCGGTGCTGTTGGATATGCGAGTAGTGCTTGGTATTGTTTATTGGAGAAGTGAGTCCTAATTCCCATTGGCTTTGTTATATTGACTTATGTGTAAATCCCCTTGGGAAAGGTATGACTCCACGTCTTCTCCCCCAGCTATGGGTTAATTAGTAAGTTTTGTATAACGAAACTATATTTTCTGGTTTTAAATAACCTACAAAAGTTGATAAACTTTAGAAAACGAATCAGTCATCTTTGTTGTTATGTTCACAGCATTTTGGCCGTTGTGCACTCCGGCCTTCTTAAGGATTCTGCTGATCTGACTAACGTTCAAGTAATTTTTAACAGAACCCTTAATTTAACCCATGGGGATAAATTGTTCTCTTTCTGCCTGGGAGTACCTCGCTTTGCTCCTTATCAAAACTGCACAGCAAAAGCTTTTCCTGTTTCTGCTGAATGTAAATCTATACTACCCAGACCAGGGATTGAACTCGCAATTACTAATTGACAAGTCACCAATAATGAACGTTTTAATCTCATATGTTAGACAATTTAGGCAAATTTCTGAAAGTCTAGTTCCAGAAATTTATGTTGCCTCTTTCTGGTTTTAAGTAAAAGATTTCTCTTTAAAGTTCCCACTTGATAAAATGTTCTGCCCATAGCATTCTTAACATTTGTCAGTAAAAATCACATTTATGCAACTGTCAAGTTTCCTTTTTTATCATAGAGGAAATTAACTTTCACATAAACGTTCATCACTTTTTTTTTTTTTTCGTTTCTCTGTACATTTTACCATCTCTTAATGCTTAATGCTTAGTTTCTGAAAAACATCTTTAGCTATTCCTATGTACGAAACGATTTCGTATGTCACGTTCATAAATTACAAATACGGCAAATTCTGATGCAATATTTTGTAACAAACATATTCACCAATTTGATTAAGGAAATCACCCGGGATTAATGTTCATGACCTCGTTTGTCCATGGGATTCTCAAAATTCTTCTTTGGGCACTTCAGTATCGTAATCTTAAATTTCTTCATTTTAATTTTCTTAATCTTAATTTGCTTAATCTTAATATTCTTTCTTAATCTTAATTTACTTAATCTTAATTTGGATGTCATGTATGGCATCCAACTTATTCAGAAATGTCGAAACTATATTCTCTATACAACCAATTCATATTGTGTTCTTAAATAGCCTCATCAGATCTAGACTCTCATATGGATGTCATGTATGGCATCCAACTCATTCAGATATGTCTGATCTATCACCTCTATGCAACCAATTCAGGTTGTGTACTTAAATAGCCTCATCAGATCTAGACTCTCATATGGATGTCATGTATAGCATCCAACTCATTCCAAAATGTCTGAACTATAATCTCTATACAACCAATTCATATTGTGTTCTTAAATAGCCTCATCAGATCTAGACTCTCATATGGATGTCATGTATGGCATGCAACTCATTCAGAAATGTCTAAACGATCATCTCTATACAACCAATTCATATTGTGTTCTTAAAGAGCCTTATCAGATCTAGACTCTCATATGGATGTCATGAATGGCATCCAACTCATTCAGAAATGTCTAAACTATCATCTCTATACAACCAATTCAGGTTGTCAATAAATAGCCTCATCAGATCATAGACTCTCATATGGATGTCATGCTCAGCATCCAACTCATTCAGAAAGATCTAAACTATCATCTCTATAACTACCAATTCTCATATTGTGTTCTAAAACATCTGCCGCATCAGATCTAGATTCTCATATGGATGTCATGAATGGCATCCAACTCATTCAGAAATATCTAAACTATCATCTCTATAAAACCAATTCAAATTGTTCTTAAAAGCCTCATCAGATCTAGATCTCATATGGATGTCTTGTATGGCATCCAAAAATTCAATATGTCTAAACTATCATCTCTTTAAAACCAATTCATTCAAAGCTGAGTAAACTTATCTGTAGCATCCCTCATCAGATCTAGACTCTCATATGGATGTCTCTATATGTTTGCAGATCCAACTCATTCAGAAAGGTCTAAACTATCATCTCTATAAAACCAAAAGGTCAATTCATTCAAAGCCTCATCTAAACTATCATCTGTATGGATGTCTTTTCTGGCATCCAACTAATTCAAAATGTCTAAACTATCATCTCTATAAACCTAATTCAAATTGTGTTCTTAAAAGCCTCATCAGAACGAGACTCTCATATGGATGTCATTTTCTAGATTCAATTCATTCAGAAATGTCTAAACTATCATCTCTATACAACTAAATTCAGGTCAATTTCTTAAATCAAGCCTCATCAGATCTAGACTCGAGTATGGATGTCATGTAGCATCCAACTCATTCAGAAATGTCTAAACTATCATCTCTATGCAAACCAATTCAGGTTGTGTACTTAAATAAACCTCATCAGATCTAAACTCTCATATGGATGTCATGTATGGCATCCAACTCATTCAGAAATGTCTAAACTATCATCTCTATACAAACAATTCAGGTTGTGTCAATTAAAAAGCCCTCATTGATCAATTAGACTCTCCATATGGATGTCTGTATGGCAAAAGGAATGGTCTAAACTATCATCTCTATAAAACCTTTTCTCAAATTGTGTTCTTAAAAACCTCATCTATCTCATATGGATGTCAAAATGGCATCAACTCATTCAAAAATGTCTAAACTATCATCTGTATGCAAACCTTTTTCAGGAGATCACTATTCAAAAGCCCTCATAAATCTATCATCTGTATGCAACCCTTTTTTAAGATCCAATTCATTCAAAATGTCTAAACTATCATCTCTATACAACCAAATTCAGGTTTGAGATCTTAAATAAGCCTCATCTAAACTATCTCATATGGATGTCTTTTCTGGCATCAACTCATTCTAGAAATGTCTAAACTATCATCTGTATACAACCAATTCATAGATGTGTTCTTAAAGCTGTGTCCAGATCTAGACTCTGTATGGATGTCATGGGCATCCAACTCATTCAGAAAAGGTCTAAACTATCATCTCTATAAAACCATTCAAAGCTGTCTAAACTATCATCATGTTCTTAAATCAATGGCCTCATCAGATCTAGACTCAATTCATTATAAACTATCATCTGTATGGCATCCTTTTCTCAAATCAAAAGAAATGTCTAAACTATCATCTCTATAAAACCAATTTCTCAAATCAATTAATTAGCCTCATCAGAACGATCATCTCATATGGATGTCATTTATGGCATCCAACTCATTCAAAATGTCTAAAGTCTATCATCTCTATAAAACCAATTCAAATTGTGTTCTTAAAAGCCTCATCAGAACGAAACTCTCATATGGATGTCCTTTTCTTGGCATCCAACTCATTCAGAAATGTCTAAACTATCATCTCTATACAACCTTTTCTCAGATTGTGTTCATTCAAATAGCCTCATCATCTTTAATCTAGAATCTCATATGGATGTCAACTATGGCATCCAACTCATTCAGAAATGTCTAAACTATAATCCTATAAAACCAATTCAGGTTGTGTTCTTAAATCAACCTCATCAGATCTAAACTCTAAAATATGGATGTCATGTATGGCATCCAACTCATTCAGAAATGTCTAAACTATCATCTCTATACAAAACTTTTCAGGTTGTGTTCTTAAAAGCCTCATCAGATCTAGACTCTCATATGGATGTCATGAATATGGCATCCAACTCATTCAGAAGCTGTCTAAACTATCATCTCTATAAACCCAATTCAGGTTGTGTTCTTAAATAGCCTCATCAGAATCTAGACTCTCAAATGGATGTCCCTTTTATGGCATCCAGGTTCATTCAAAATGTCTAAACTATCATCTCTATAAAACCAATTCAAATTGTGTTCTTAAATAGCCTCATCAGAACTAGACTCTCATATGGATGTCATTAGTGGCATCAACAACTCATTCAGAAATGTATAAACTATCATCTCTATACAACCAATTCAGGTTGTGTTCTTAAATAGCCTCATCAGAATCTGTATGCATGGATTCATGTATGGCATCAATTCATTCAAAAATGTCTAAACTATCATCTCTATACAACCAATTCAGGTTGTGTTCTTAAATAGCCTCATCAGATCTAAACTCTCATGCGGATGTCATGCATATCATCCAACTTATTCAGCAATGTCTAAACTATCATCTCTATACAAACCAATTCAGGTTGTGTTCTTAGAATTCAGCCTCCCAAACTAGATCTAAACTCTTGATCAATTATGGATGTCATCATCTGTATGCATCCAACTCATTCATTCAAAATGTCTAAACTATCATCTCTATAAAACCAATTCAGGTTGTGTTCTTAAATAGCCTCATTCAGCTGTCTAAACTATCTCATATGGAACCAAAAGGAAATCCAACTCATTCAGAAATGTCTAAACTATCATCTCTATAAACCAATTCAAATTGTGTTCTTAACTAATCCTCATCAGATCTAGACTTCATTCATATGGATGTCATGTATGGCATCCAACTCATTCAGAAATGTCTAAACTATCATCTCTATAAAACCAATTCAAATTGTATTTCTTAAATAGCCTCATCAATCTCTAGACTCTCATATGGATGTCAAACTTTTGGCATCCAACTCATTCAGAAATGTCTAAACTATCATCTCTATAAACCAATTCAAATTGTGTTCTTAAATAGCTATCATCATCAGATCTAGAATTCTATATGGATGTCATGTATGCATCCAACTCATTCAGAAATGTCTAAACTATCATCTCTATAAACCAATTCAAATTGTGTTCTTAGCGAGCCTTGTCAAAACTATACTCTCATATGGATGTCATGTATGGCATCCAACTCATTCAAGAAACTGTCTAAACTATCATCTCTATGCATCCCCAATTCAGATTCAATTCATTCAAACCTCATCTAAACTATCATCTGTATGGATCCCTTTTCTGGATCAATTCATTCAAAAATGTCTAAACTATCATCTCTATGCAACCTTTTTCAGATCAATTCATTAAAAAGCCTCATCAAACTATC